AGTCCAAAGTTTTTATCCCATTATCTACTTGTTGCAAGTAGCAGCATGATGTGTCTTCATGAAGCATGAAGCCATTGGTGGACTCTTGGTTGTAGTCACCTATGTTTTTGATGAAATTAACTGTGATTTTGTTATGAAAAATAAAGAGAAAGAAAGACTACTTAATTAATTATTGTAACTTAAAATGGAAGAATGAAGCCAGCAGAGTTTTTGCTTTGGGCTGCCAAATGCACTGTGAAGATTAGACTTCCCTCCTTCAGTTGTCTGTCTGATAATCCGTATCCACAAGAAAGACAAACTGTCCTTACCCTCTTGCTCCTTTCCAATTTTTTTCTTTGCACTTGAAGCCAAATTCTTGGACTGTTTTTTGTGACCGCTCCTTTTATTTCCTCTTAAATACAGTTCACTTTTTGAAGATGTGGTGTTTCCTTTTCATTTCAGAGTTGAAGTATGCGTATGTTCACAGGTGCACAGCCCCAGTGGAGCCGCCTTCAGTCCTGTCCCCTGTCATACCAGCCACTCCTCCCTGCCCCCACCAACCAGCACACACACACAGGCAGCCACTGCTCCCAGTGTCTCAGCTTTCCTGAGGCTTTCCTTTTTCTGTGTAAAAGTAAAGAATAGCATTCATACAGTTCTTACTTGCTGCTCTTTTTACTTTTTATTGCTCGGATCTTTGCCAGCGCATAGAGATCATCCTCATTTTGGGGACAGCCGCACCGTGCTTCCTTGTCAGTTAATAACCTTGAATCAGACGCTGACCCTGCCCAGGTCGGAGACCAGCCATCAGGCCTCAGTCCTCTCTCCCCTTGTCTTTCCAGTGTGCTTCTCACTTCTGAGTGTCTGTGTCGCTGCCCTTCAGGCCTTGGTGCCAGGACTTGCCCTCCTGCTGTGCACGTAGGTACAGGCTCACAGAAAGAGGTGCAGGCGCTCTAGAGAACCGTTGAAGTTCCAAGCGACGGGGGTGGAGAAGGAAGGAGCCCAGCCTTCTGACCCGTGAGCACGTCAGGCACTGTGCTGACTGTGCCTCGCACCCAGCACAAACACTGGCCTTGCCGTCGTCAGGCAGCCTGTGTTGTCATCGTCCGGTCTCCGCAGGGCCTGGCAGGGAGTTGTGCAGATGTGTATTACGTGAACAGACCACTCTCTCTACCTGATTCTGTATTTTGCTGAATCCCTTTGTTTCACCCAAAGCCTTAGGCCACCTTGAAAGCTCTCCTACTGGTTCGTGATTCTTTGAGTGTCCCCACCGTCCCTGCCCACGGAGAGTTCTGCTCTCAAATTTCAGCTGCTGCCTTTGTGGACAATCCTACACCTGCATTTCATTCCTTTTCTCTCATGTTGAAGACTTTTAAAGTCTACCTGTAACATATGTGTGCTGTGTGTGTACCAGTACGTTGGTTATGTGTTAATCTTTGTAACAGTATTAGGAGATGCATCTTGTATGTGAAGAAACAGGTTCAGAGGGATCACACAGCCAGTTAGGGACCTGCAGCTAGTCTCTGTGGGGGCCATAACTTGGACTCACTGCACTTGAATATTCCCTAGAACCTCACAAAGCAGAGAATGTGTGAACAGTAGGACGTCTGAGTCTGTCCTTGGTGCGGCTAGAGTTGGCTGGTGTTGAGCAGCTTCTGCAGCTGCATTTCATCATCTAGAAAGTAAGGAGGTTGGACTAGGAATCTGAAGCCTCTGCCCACTGCTAGTTACGGTTCTCGGTGGAAGTCTAGGTTTGCCTGCAGTGCCCTTCTGAGGGCCGGGGCTGTTTCTCTCTACTTACAGGGGTCCTGCAGTGAGTGCACTGCTTCTGTTTGGTTCAGATTTAAGCGTGAAACCAGTGGATTTTACCTAGGCAATAGATCCCCCCTCAAATTATGTAATACACTTTTTGTTTTAGGAGGTGTATTTCCATTTTACTAAGGATAGGTTTTGTCCATTGGCTTATGATTTTTAAAAAACTGTACATAGTTGATTTGTTTTTGTCATTTTTTAAAAATTATTACATCTTGGAACCTGAAAAGACATGGGGTTGGTTTCTTTCTTTCTTTCTTTCTTAATTTTTTGTCCCTTAGTTTATAGTCATTGTTTCTGTTTAATAAAATAACTTTATAGTACCAATGCATTTTTAATCATCAGTGGAAAACTGTTTTGGTATTATTATGTTGCTTCATGACATGATGTATTAATTAGTAAAGAAATACAATGAAGGCTTTGTAATAGTCAATGTTTTGTGTCTAAGTATTCCTGTTCATTTAAGTATCTGAGTTTTTAACATACATTCTCAAGTGGAGTCTGATTTTCACATTGGATATGCTCTGTATAAAGGTGGCTTTTCTAGCCTATTATAAAATGATGTTTATTTGATTTTTAATAAAAAGAGCTAATACCTTATTGGGTAATTACATCAATTAAAAAGGATAATTTTTGTTTTATAATTTAAGGGTAATTTATTAGCAGAAAGTATAGAAAAGTGCAGTACTACTTTTTCAATTGTTATTCATCCAATTTGGACTATATGTAACTATTATTTCAAGAGATTTACTTAAAATATTTTATGCAAAATATTTCAATTTATTTTTTTCTTCTTGTTACAGGAGCTAGAGTTAATGCCAAAGACAGCAAATGGTTGACACCTTTACACAGAGCAGTTGCATCTTGTAGTGAGGTATGAAATTTCTCTCAGTAAATATATTGTATATGAAATCATTAAGTAGGCCTGCCTGTGAGTCCATATTCAAGTTCTCTATTTTCAAAAAAGGAAAAAGCAACTGAAAATACCAGACTGGTCATTTTTTTACTTTGTAATTTGTACAAACCAAGTTAATTGCTCCATTTCCCTTTTCTGACTAAGGCCTCGTAGAGCTTCTAAAGTAGCAGAGAACTGAAAGCACTCCTTCTACACTTCCTACAAGAGAGAAATTATTTTTCTATTGTATAAATTCTTCACGGCTTTTCTCTACTGGTTCACAGTAGCCGTAATTGATGTGTCACAGAGGTTCTTCTGGTTGCGATTGAGAGATAGTTTTTGCAGCGTGTAATGACTAATTGAAATACCAAGCACTGAAATGAGCTTCGGAAACATTGCTTGATCTCACATTTTGCCACTTCTGAATGTATAACCTTAAAATACGTTAGGTGTCGTGTGAGGAAGGACAATTCCTCATTTCTAGTATAGTTATAATCCTGTGTGTTGTTTGCTCTTCAAAATAAGTGACATTTTTGGAGACCGTTCATCTTTATCTTTCATATCTTCCAGTCCTCATAAAATCCTGGTAGGTTAGATGTTTTCAGGGAACTGTGTAGTTAATGATCTGCCAGAAACGACTTAGCTGTTGAGTGGTAGAGATGAGACAAAAACCTGGACCCTTTTTTTTCTGTCACTTTACCACCTTTCTAAAATGGATGGGGGCTTTTTACAAATGCATTATGCCCAAAGCTTCCCTTTTACCTCTTAAAATAATGATGCTTATTGAAATTTTGTTTAAATAATTTAAAATATAAAAGCGTGTGACTGTATAAATTTAACGTTTTCTTTAGTTATTCACATGGTGGGAGACAAGGAAGTGTAGCTGCTGGTCCTTCTCCCCATCTTGGGACCCGATAGCTCTGCAGAAGGAGAGGGAACGCTCAGGCCTCAGGAGAGGTTTCCTCGAGAAACCGAGGGAACGCCTGTCTCTTCATCCTCCCTTGTAGTCCTTATTGTGAGGCACAACTGGAGTGCAGAACAGGAGCTGGGCAGGTGCAGAGACATGGAGCAGAGGAGGGCTTGAGGGACTGCAGACCCTGCAGCCTGTTAACCAGAAGCCCCGGTCGGGGCAAGAGGGAGGTGGCAGGAGTCCCTGGTGATGAACTTCAGGACTTGGAGAAACTGCCTTCAGGGTGTCACCTGCCACTTTCTGGCTGTGTGATCTTGGGCAGCTCTGGGAATCCCGAAAACTAAGGCATTAACCAGAAACCTGGGAACTCTGAAATTCGTAAGTTAGTCATACTTACCTATTTTTTGGTATGACTTTTAGGAATATGACTTAAATTTAGTAGAGTTTTGCCAAATTAAATCATTAGAAAGCACACTTTATATATTTATAGAAACAGAGCAAAAATTCTTAAAGAAAATAATTATGTTAGAGGCAGATTGCATGTTCTTCTCAGAGACCTGATTGCTGATTTTTAAAAACTATGTCCTTAGCCTGAACTTAAGGGCCAGCTGTGGGCTAGAAGGCAGTGGACCCCAATACATTTAAGTTTAAACTTTTCAGCCTTAAATTAAGTTTAGGCTTTTCATCTTAAAAATTACTCAGCTATTTAGTAATATTACT